AAACTAGAAGAACAGTTAAGCAGTCTGCATATGCAAAGAGGCCCTTACTATAAAGCTTGCAGTCTGCATATGCAAAAAGGCCCTTACTATAAAGCTTGCAGTCTGCATCAGTTTTCGACAAGCAGTGTCATGCAGAGGCCGATGTAGTAGATTGTTGCTTAAAATGTGCACTAGGCATTCTTACACATATATCCAAGCACTTTGTTGACAATCATTGGACGAGATAGAGAAAGAATTATTGTCAACAGTGTAGCAGATATTTTGTCATCCTTTAGCAGTGTTAAACTCCTTCCTACTTTTGGTTTTATTTCTTCCTTTCTCTCTCTACATTGTGTTTGTTATTTCTTTTGTTTCCTTTAGTTTCACCTGCCAAATCAAACTGGAGAGTGGATTTCTTTGTCATGGCTCCAAGGTAGAAGAAACCAGCAAGGCACATAACTTTTCACTCGGTAAAACTGCTTGTAATTGATATTAAGGCTGGTTGACTTCCATTTTCTTTCTATGACTTTTCATAAATTTTGGCTGATTAATTTTTTGGTTTTATGACAAATTATAAATTGCATCTAGAGTTGATAAACTTTCAAAGTTCAAAAAAGTTAATGCTGTTAAAATATGGTCTATGTAAGAGATAGGTATTACTATTTACAATAGCAATATGAAACTGTGAATAACACCTATGTAGAGGTACTCCTTCAAGAAAATAGGAATTACAAAATCTCCTGATGGGCTAATGGTCCTCTGATGGTAGCCCCAGAGGGTATAACTCTCCTGTTTTAAGTATTTAGCAGTATTATTCAATCTCCATCTTCATCATCTTGATCACCCGTGACTTGAAGTCCATTCTTGGTCATGAAGAATTAGTACAAATTCAGAGGAGGCTGCAGTCAAAAGAAAGAAATCAGAGACCTCAAGTGTTATGAAACTCATTAAAATAAACAGAAAAGACCACATACTTACTTCAAATGTGATTAGTGACCGTCTGTGGTTAGAATTACTGGTCATTGTACTTATGGAATCACAATCCCTATCATTTCTAAGTTTGTCAGAACCATAAAGCTTGATTAACCAAGGGTATAAGCTCTCTTTGTCATTCTTCCCATCCATTGAAGATCCTCGCCTGCTGCTTTTTTGTTTCTTTCCCCATTTGGGACGTTGTTTCGGTTCGCTATGCGACCTAGCTTTTGCTTCTGATGATTTTGTATTTGTCATGTAATTTGGTACAAATTGGGAGTCAGTAGGCATGAAATCTGAGAGTTTTTGAATAGGAGGATCATCTAATGATGTATTTCTGTGCTCAGATTTAGACCAAGCAGGGTACTGTCTCGAACTTCTTCGAGCCATATCTAAAGAAAACTCCCCTAACTGCCCATCATAGGTCATTGAACTTTCATCCGTCAGTGACATTGTTGATGGATTGGGACATGTCTTAAGTTGATGATCCCTTTGTGAGGTGGAAGATCTACCAGAATTACATGTACCATAGCCATGTTCCACTCTTCCAGCAAGAGTATGATTTATGTGTGCACTTCTGCTCGTCAAAGCTCCCCTTCTGTCGTGTATATTCTCAGTGTCTTCCTACATTTATAGAAATCAACCTTTTTGCTTATTTATTACTGAACTTGCCTAAAGCATGTATTTGGGGGGAATTCACAGTGGACATAAGTGCTCGTTTTTAAGTATAGAATGAGGACCATAGGTGTTGTTTT